AGGGGGGGGGGGGGGGGGAAAGCTTGACGAGAGAGCTAGACTGCTAACAACCACATCTCAGGTCAAAGTAGGAACTTCTCAGCAACACTCTGAGTGGAGGAACTTGAGGAAGTCCCCAAACACTGAGGGGACTGGACAGCCCCTCGCTACGGATCCACTCAGTACCAGTATTGGGCAACATCACTGGGTAACCAGGCAGGAAAGGGTTCAATTTCTGCCTTTCACTAGAATCTTTCCTGGAGGAAGGCAGAACAAGGGTTTTGCCAGCAGACACCACAAGTGAGTGCTATCAGAGCAGAACAGTCAACAAAGCAGCTCAGATACTGCTCTGCGACTCCCGGGGCTCCATCCTCGGGGTGTTTTCTCTGGGCTGGCTCCTTCCTGGGACCCAGGGGTGCTCTCAGAGGACTGTGAATACAGCCTAGCCCCAGCAGAACAAACTTAGAGCATCTCAGAGCATTGTGTTTACTCACCCACCAACCTGGGCAAAGAGTGGCACCATGAAGCTGGCCCTGCCCTGAAACCTAAAGTCAGCCAGGCCAAGTCATGTGTTACCCTCTGACAGAAGGACAGGGTCTCCCCTTTTCTTCCTCTGCTGGGAATCATAAAGAAAAATTTGAAGGACATGGTAAGAAGCAGTTTTTGCATCTGCTTTGGTTTTGTTTTCAGCGAAGCGTTCAGAAAAAAACCCTGGAAGTTGAGACAGAAAGAATGAAATATCTAAACTAGTGGTTTGCTTAAGGAGAATCAACTTCATTTATTGGAAGGAATGTGTTACATATTGCATCTCATTTCATCGGAAAGTTACTGCTGTGAAACAAAGAAATACAAATCCTTTACTTTGGAATAAAGACAAATGTGCTTCTTTTCAGGTTACCAAGATATCACTGAAAAAAAGGCCAGCACTTTCTAATCACAGTGTCCCCATTCCTACGTCTAAGGCACAGCAGGATGTTGACTATCTTGTGCATCTAAGTTTCAAACTAGGACCTTTAAGGACACCAAAGGGCATCCACTGATACAGCAAGAAAACTTCAAAACTGTGGGGACTCTGTCAAATTGAAGAACCGCGTATTATCCACAGGTTAACAAGGATTTATCTGCCTTACTTTTCTTCCTTTTGGGAGGACATGCTTATGCCCTGCATGCATAGTCCTTTATCTGCCCAGAAGGCACTATGTCAAGGTTCAAGTAGAAGGTACAAGTTGATCTCCTGGCAATGTAGTCAAAAGGATGCTGGACTTTCTGGGGATGCTCAGGAATCCAGATCAGAGGTCCATGAACAGTGGACACCGCTGCTGATAAAAGCCCTCACTGAAAGAGCCCTCCAAATCAGAAAGAGATGCCACTACTAGGAAACACATCTTCAGGGCTCTCAGAAGGAGAGATGGAAAAGATTTCCACATGCCCAGCCCTGAGGGGAGAGTTTTTCTGCAACAGTATCTCCAATTCCGAACTACGTGGAAAAAACAAGTTCGTGTCATCAGACACCAGACAGATGAGAGTCATCTTGGAGGAGGCAAGATTTGATTTCTTGCTTCATACCACTTCCACCCTGTTCCTTGCCTTTCTTAGGAGTCCCACTCCCTGGCCAGATCTGGAGGATCTGAGGCTAAAAGCCTCAGAATCAGAAGGGAACAAGGACAGATTCACTTCAAAAGCAGAACTGCGTGGAGCTCTTCCTCCTCCACCCGCTAGAAAGGACGAAGTGAAGGAACAGAAAGATGTAGAGGGCATGGGTGAGCAGGCTCCATGTGGAGACAGTCTGGAGCTAAAGCACCAGGCTGAAACATCCACAGAGGAGGCATTTCGGAGCACTTCTCCTGCCGGGTGAAGGCTGGGCATTGCTATATGGATGGTGCCAAGGAGGTGGTGCCCTACAAGCATAAGGCTGATTCTCCGCTCCCACCCAAAAACTGACACTACCTGTTTGGAAGCCCTTTCCCACCACTGCTCCATGCTTTATCCACAGCCCCCATGCCCAGCTGGGAATACAGGAGGATCACTGTTTCTCACCATCCTTTAAACCTCCCTCTCTGCAGACACCTTGACAACTGGCTTCCTGCCCCCCAGCCCAGACTTTCATTACAAATCTGATCCACAAACAGCACCAGTGCCCTCTGGAGAGCTTTTAGAAGAGCTCTGCTCTGCAGGGAAAGAAACGAAATATGCATTCAGACACTCTTGTGTCCTTTGCAGACACCCAAACTGGCTCCGAAACACCCAGCTCACGTACCAGAGAGGGAACAGAGCTATGAGTTAGCTCCAGCACTGCATAGACCCATATGGACCTACTGAAACAACCCGAGACCTGGGGTCATCACTGGGGCTACGGTTCATGGTACTGACGTTGCCAAACTGCTGGCCAGTGAGAAGAGGATCCAGCAGCGAAAAGAGGATGGTCAGCTCTGTTTGGAATAAGACGATGTTTGTTGGAGAGCTCTGGGAACACAGTAATCCCTGTCTGTCCCCCTGCCCTCTTAAAAAAATTGCTGGAGACTGTGCCTGTCAGAACACGAACACTGTCTGCAGTCCAGGAGCCTGGAAGGGCTCACAGCAACGTAAGTAAGCATCAGCCCCAGGTGAGGAACTCAGCGAAAGGGAGTATGGAGCAGATAGAGGTTTATGGAGCAGCAGCTGATGTAGAGCTGAGCTCTGAGGGCAGAAAAGCCATCCGGGAGACCATCAGCTTTGCACTCAGCTAGTGCTGCATCCTCATTTTCTTCTGGGGACTGATGGGCCAAACTCCTGCCCTCTCCAGTGATATCGTTTGGTCTGTAGAAGGAAGGATATTCAGCTGTATGGGAAAAGCTCAAGTCCAGCCCTAGAAATTTGAGGCCAGACTTCACCGCATTACCCCCTTCTCTTCAAAGACCCACAGTTGGCCCTTGAGCAGATGGGTGTGAGGGGAGGGATCTTACCCCTTTCCTGGTGCATTTAAACACTGTCATTGGTGTTACTCCCTAATTATTCCCTAAATTAATTGTTTTTCTGGCCTGGAGAGGCTTTTATGAGTCAAATAACCCTGGAAAAAATATTTTGGGACACTATGGACCGAACAAGACAGGAAAAACCTATAGCTGAGAGCAGTAATAAAAGCACCATCTGTGACCGGGCAGAGAGAACACGTAACGTGAACTGAACAGTCATTACACACTCATTTAATTCTCACATTAAGCCAGGAGTTCCCTGAACGATAGAGCACTAATTTCCTACCAATTTACATCCTGCATCTCTGCCTGACACCGCAGCAGTACCAGCTCTTTCCTGTGCTGTGATTCTGTAAGAAACCACATCACAACACTGTACCAACATACAGCAAAGCTCAATGCTGGCCCTTACAGGAGGGGATGGCGATTGGCATTAAAACAAAACTAATTTTCCTCACTCAGGAGCACCAAGACATGTGTGTCCCTGTGTTTCCACCCAGCACTGAGGCAGTAACCTGCGTGTGTCCAGGCGGTCTGCCCGATTCCTTGCAGTGGCACGGAGGATGGACATTGGACAAGTTGTCCTCGTTGGCTGAGGATGCACTTCTAGCCCGGTTCTCACCTACCCTCCCTGCACCCCTCCCTGCGGTCTCCTGACCTTCCTCTGAATGTCTTTCTCATCCACCTGGTTATGCCCATGCCCCTGCTCTGCAGCTCTAATTCCTCGGGATAGCCTTTGAAGGCAGCTTGGAGCTCAGGTCTAGACTGAGAGCCACGGGTGGGGACATCGGCTTTCTGGAAGCAAAGGCAGAGGTGAAGGAAGGCCCTGGCAAGCAGCATGGGGACTTTGAGGACAAGAAGCTTTTCATGCACAGATAAAAAGCACCATGGGGGAAAGTCAAAACCAGGCATCTACAAAGCTTTTCTCTTCTCTTCTCTTTCCCATGAGCCCAGCTTGTTTCTTTTAAATGAGGTCTCTGGCCAGCAATTCTTTTTTTACCTGAGACTTTGCAGCGAGGCAGGGATTTGTCTCCCTACAAGCAGTGTCACTGCCAAAGCTGCCTCCCAGCACCTCCGGGCCCTGGGGCATCACACTGATGCTGTCTCTTGTTTCACCCACCGTACTCCAAAGATCAATGCACAGGAATGGGACAACCTCTGACCACAAGCACAGCAGAGATATTCAGCCGCCACCTTCCCGCAGCGTGACTGCACAGAAGAGGGACGCGGAGGCAAAGGGCAGAAGAGAGCAGCAAAGTCCGGGCTGCGTGGGGAAGCGGCGCTGATTTTACCCCTTTTTCATAGAATGGTTTGGGTTGGAAGGGACCTTTAAAGACCATCTAGTCCAACCCCCCTGCCATGAGCAGGGACACCTTCCACTAGATCAGGTTGCTCAAAGCCCCGTCCAACCTGGCCTTGAACAATTCCATGGAGGGGGCATCCACAACTTCTCTGGGCAACCTGGGCCAGTGCCTCACCACCCTCATAGTGAAGAATTTCTTCCTTATGTCCAATTTAAATCTACCCTCTTACAGTTTAAAACCGTTGCCCCTTGTCCTGTCACAACAGGCCTTGGTAAAAAGTCTCTATCCGTCTTTCTTATAAGCCCCCTTTAAGTACTGATGGGCTGCAATAAGGTCTCCCTGAAGCCTTCTCTTCTCCAGGCTGAACAACCCCAACTCTCTCAGCCTTTCTCCATAGCAGAGCTGTTCCAGCCCCCTGATCATTTTTGTGACCCTCCTCTGGACCCGCTCCAACAGGTCCGTGTC